TTTTTTTTTTTTTAATCTTAGGGATAGACGTACATACATGTTTTCATTTTTGTAAAAAGATTTTTATGGATCTGTTACGTTTTCCTTTTTTTCATTGATCAAACTATGAACAGAATATTACTTCACCCTTAGTTTAAAAAAATTGTTTCCTCTTTATATTAAGTTTATTCCAGACAAGTACGAAACAAATTTATTACATTATTTCAATATTATTACTGGCATTGTATCCCAAATATGGATCAGTATACACCGAAAGGTCAGGCTGATCAACTCCATAAATTCAAATGATAGAAGAACTATTACAATTACGATACGAAGATTTTGTTTTTATTCTTCTTTCAAACTGACAATTATCTGCGCTATCCTCTTGCAATAAATATATTTCGAGACGTTTGATACGTATGTCCGAATAATAACGCAAAATTGATAACTTTCTGTATACATGTTGTTCGTTAAGTTAATCAAACGAGCGATTTCCTCCCAAGGGATTCTTTCACGTGAATTCCAAATCCGTGTCTCTTCCTGCCGGAAGTGTTTGTGTTGCCCTGACAGACATAGTTTCAGGGATCACGACGACGAGTCCTCCGTGTTCGATGCAGTGAGCAAGCTGAACGAGGTACGCGGTGTCAAGGGCCTTGGAAGATTCTTCAAGCAGATCGCGCAGAGCGCGAGATCCGGGGGCCAAGATGATTTTCTAGGCTGCGTGAATATTCCTCTTCAGGTATTTCCAGCGAATTCTTTACATTTATATTATAATATTTTATTATTATTTATTTAATTTACTTTCTCTCAATTTTCACGACAACGGAATTACAGAGATTTTAGATTCAATTTCGTCTAGTAATTTCTCAATTCTTCTTCGTAATTTCAATTTCCGACTTTAAGTGAAATAAAATTTTTTTTTCGCAATGTTTTAATATTCTCCCCTGAAGCGTCGGTATTTACTTTCGCAACCGACCAAGGTTCAGATCAAGGTTGCAAGACAAGTTATGAATTATTCATCTATGAGAATTTATCAAGTCCTCTGGAAACTCTGCTCCATTTATTCAGTTCAGCTTTGAATACTTGGACAGCTCGCTGATCTGAAATTTTTTTTGATCCAGCACAGAGGAACAACATATTCAGAGATAAATATAAAACGATTCATCCTTCGAATGTAAAATGTAATTCATAATTATATCGATATGTTGGACATGTATGCTTGATAAAAAATTATCTTCCGTGGACAGAGATTTCCCTGTTTCCACGGTTAATGTCACGGACAACTATTATTGCTGTCTACCGATCGATAAAGATAATGTTACTCGACGTTAACTTTCAAAGTTTGCAGTTCCCATCATTTCTTTCCCTCTTCCCTTTTTTCTACGTTCGAACACCCGGTGGGTAAGAAACGATCGTTCGTTGACAGGATATTCCAAGCACCGGGCTGGATCGATGGTACAAACTAGAGGCCAGAACGCAACGAAGTACTATTCAAGGTAGAATTAGATTAAAGTTGTGGCTATCAACGAGAGAGGATCGCGGTACGTCCGAAGAAGACAACTGGGGTGAGCTCAGGCAACAGGAGCGACTGTACACGGTCTTTCTCAATCACGAGATGAACAAACAAGGGGTACGCGTCGTGAGCAAACAAAAAAATAAATATAAATATAAACATAATCACATCCCGATACATGTAAATGTTTGAGAAAGCGTTTCGAAAATTCGGGACGAATGCCGTGCAGATTCCAGCTTTCATTTTAGATTCAAGCGTGAAAACTCATGGTGAAAAAAAAGAAAGGAAAACACGAAACATTTTTGGAAATATTTTTGCGGCGGGTAATATTTGTGCAATATTTAGTATCTACGGTATATTGAAGTATTTACACACGAGCCTCACAAAATTCGCAGAAAATATCGCTACGTCGATTTCAATATAGTTTTAAAATGTTATGAAACATGAAATCAACGAAATATTTCGTAACATTATAGTATATACGTATATGAACTATAATACTTTTACATGAACTATAATATTATGTTATATTTTTTATAATAGAAACTGTCGTGGCGATGGTATATGTCAGTGAAAATAAAATACGCTTCTAAATATAAGATATCTCCCTGGACAAGAAAGGGATCTCCATCTTTCTTCTATTTTTATTCCATTAAATATTAATAAACCAATGTCGTAGATACTAGGCACTTTTATAGAAAATAAAAAGGGATACAAAGGAGCTTCTAAATATTTCCGTAAATAAATCTCCGCTATCACATACTTGTATATAAATAAAAATGAAACGCATATATATTTCTAAAGATGTAAGGAAAAAAATAAATGCAATTATCCTATCAACAATTATTAAACTGCGAATTTTTACGCAATTACAGGGAATTTAAATTCAAAGTCACCAAAGAACTTTATTATAGAACTCTACGCTGTTATTTTCAAGAAAATAAATGTTCGTGTAAAAATCCACAGTCCAATGCTTCAACATAAATGTAATTACACCATCAACAATTATTAGACTGCGAATTTTTACATGCACTCATAGGAAATTTAAATTTAAAGTCACCGAAATTCATGGAACGTCTCTATATCATTATTAAAAAAAAAATGTGTGTGTGTGTGTGTGTGAACAATTATTAGACTGCGAATTTTTACATGCATTCATAGGAAATTTAAATTTAAAAAATATATATATATTTAATTAAAAATATATATATATATATGTATGTATTCGTGTAAAAATCCACAGTCCAATGACTAGATCTTTGCATCATTCGGTTTTATTTCACTCGGCCGGATAACGCCTGTCATTTTCATTTGCCCTGACGTAGAATCAAATTGCTCCCTCTTGTTCTCGCCTTTTAATGAAGCAATCTATTTATCGACGTAACGATGCGTCATTTAGGAAGACTTCACAGGGGAATTGCCACAAACGGCACTAACGATTCTTCATCAACACGCCGTCCAAGGTGATGTCACGGAACTGCAACAAGCGTTAGTTAGATGGGTAGCGTCATCCAGGCAATCAGCCTGCGATCCAAGGATTCTCCATCGTCTCCTTCAGGTTCAGTTTCAGTTTCCCTCTCCTCTTATTCTGTCTACTTCTGTATTATCTGTATTTCTCTGCAACGCACTCTCCTTCTGTTCTTCCCGTTTCGGGAAATTCACTTGTTCAGGAATTGGACAATGTGTGGCACACAGACACCCTCTCCCGGGACGAGGAACAATGTCTGGCGGACTCTTTCAACGAATTCCTCGAAGTGACGTTGAAGAAAGTCCGACAGCACCGAGTACTGTTCCCGCCATTGCATCGACCATCGATCTCCAAGTTGGATTATCTTCTTAGGTGTGTAGTCTCCTTACCAAGAGAGAAAATGAACGTATCGTTCGCGTATTTTATTTGTGCCTTTGTTTTATATGCCGATGCCTTTTTTTGTTTTGTGTATTTACTAACATATAGAAGTCAAGTCCCTGATTTTGTACAAAAATTGCATGTAGTACAAGATCTTCAGAATCCTCAGCACACCATTGTCATTCAATTTGCACGTTGAAAGCTGAAACAAAACATTGAAAAATATTCCTTCCTATTTCCTACAACTTTCGATACGATTGAAGTAATAGCAAAATTAAAAATCACTGTGATATCGAAATATATCACTTTGTCATTTGTTCCTTACAGATGTTTGGGACAGCTGTCGAACATGAAGGCGTTCCGTGCTTGTTGCCCGTTCAACAAAGAAATCCGCGGAGAGATAATAACCTCACTAAGAAAGGGAACCCTCGAATGGTCAGTGAACTAGCGAATTTTCTTCGTTATTTTTCTCTGTCGCTTGTTCGAAACTAACGTCGCTGTTTGATCGTTCAGGTACGAGGACACGAGGAAACAAACAATGTGTTACGATAAGGAGCCGGATCAGGACACTGATAAAGTCCTGCAGGACTTCACGAACTTGGTCACTGCGTTACTCGTTGACTTGGAACAAGGACTCACTT